TTTGAAGCCAAGCGAATCTCCAGCCTTACTCAATCAAGCAGATTTTTTTGGCTTCGCTGCGTGTTGATCACATTGCCATATTTTTGTGTCAACGGTAGTACAACAAGCTCGGCATCGTATCTCCTTCCATGCTAATTATTTGTGGTGTTCCTGCGGCCAAACGCTAATGGTCTCTCTCTCCCTCCTTGCTTGGGATCTTTTGGCCCGGGTTAGTGCAGTGGTGACTAATAGTGCAAAGAACTCAGTTACAATTATCCCATGCAGTGATGCAGAGGAGGACAGGAGTTGGTGCCTAGCTTGTTTGCATGTGAGATCAAGGACTTCCCTTGTACTTATTTTGGTCTAGAACATGAAAGATCATGATTGATGAATTGTCCCCTAACCTTTTTCTAAGCTGTTCCTAAGAGTGTCATCAAGCGGCGTACGGTGGCCGAAGGACTGGACGACTAGTTTGGATATTTGACATAAAAAGGTGCTTTCTCTATCAGGTACTAAGAGAGAATACATACTCTTCTGAGGTCTGGTTCCTGCTCTAGCAAGTTGTCCTACAATGCCATTTTTCTTGGTTCCATCCTCTTTGCTCCATGGAAGCGAATTTGGAGATCCTGGGCTCCTCCAAGGTAATAAATAGCGTATAGGGGGTTGGTAGTGGATTGACGTCGAGGTAGCGGATTGCGGATAACGGAAGATATTGCGGACGATAAGTTCTAATAGTGGCATCTGATAATCCCATATAAGTTTAAGTACATATATCATGAATAATGAGTATAAATAGACATTTAATTACACTCAAAGAACGCCTAAATCTGAACCTAGAGGCTATAGTCAATGCGTGAGTGTGTTTGAGTTGGGGGTGTGAGTCATAGTGGGCTGGGCTGATTAGGGTTATTTGTTTCCACGCTATTGCAGCCTACTGCATGCAATTGCGACCGCAATATCGCCCCGCTATTCAGAATTGTGACCGCAAAGTTCCAGGCTGCAAAGTTCAGAGCGCTACCTCATAGCGGTAGCGGCGCTATTGCGGCCGCTACCGCCGCTATTTATTACGTTGGGCTCCTCTTAGCTGTCAGTTATTTATTTGGCTTATACAGTTAAAAAAACCATTGTTGCCTTGTTGGACGCCTGACCAGCTTGCTAAGACAACATTGAGGACGACTCCACCTGGACGCTTCCCCTTCTGTGATCAATAAGGGAACACTATACAACATGTCAACACATCTTGGCCTCTTGTGTTTTTGCCGAAAAATATGGTGCATCATCTAGCAGAAAATTGGCCTGGTCACCATTGCACATCAACCGTCTGCTCATAGGTTATCAAGCTAGTGGTACCAGGCAAGACAGTTAATGAGGTGGCAAAGGATTATGAGAAGAGGTTTAAGCAATTGGCAATATTAGGCCAGTCTCAGTGACGAGATTTATGATGTTGTTTTTAAGACCATCATATCATATAGAAATGAAATGAAACATGGCTGAAACGACCACTCTCAATGAAAAGTTTTATTCTATGGTTTTATGGACATTTAATTTCAGGGCTCAAAAGAGAGTTGGTAACCGGAATAAGAGAGTTTTATCCCCATGAAACTCACTTAAAACATTGCCACATCATCAAAAGTGCTTATAGGGCAGGTTATTAAATACAAATGAAATTGTGGACTGGTCTTATATAGCTTGGAAAATCTGGAAGCAGTAGAACTCTACATCTTTAACGTCTCTAATCCAATCATCATGTCGGTGCTGTGGTCTCCGTGTGTGTGTGTGTGTGAGAGAGAGAGAGAGTTCAGGTCCCTAGTTTGGTTGTTCAGGTCGCCTTGGTTTTGCTTTGTAAGTTCAGTGTGTTCTAGTTTTGAGTGTTGTGGGTGGGTTGTTTGGTGTGTGTGCATGGGGGAGTGTTTTGTTGGGATTTCTTCCCCTGAATTTCAACATTTATTTTAAATAAAATGATACGCAGCTCTAACATATGTTTAAGAAAAAAATATTAAGTTAGTCCAGAAACAAGAAGCAATAAATTTCAACAAAAAAAGAAACAAGAAAAGCCAATAGGCACCGGCAAACATGGTGGATACAGTGCTTGATGAAGCGGGGAGAAGAACTAAAACGGTGGAGTAAATGGTGTGATGAAGAAACGCCGGCGTGTCTACGAGCCAGAGAGTATGGGCTTATTTTGGATGGAGCCCTTGGTCTGGGCCCAGGGAGCTCTAGCCCAGGCAGGTGCATCCAACCTTAGGTAGTAAAAAATGGACGCTTGGGATTGATGCCTGGACCAGGCAAGATTTCCAGATCTGCATCAAAACAACCCTATATATTGTCTAGCTGACAACGAACCCTTATGTTAGTGGATAATTTGAATTCCCATATATGCATTATTATTTATTACTATAAATAAACTACTAGTACTAGCTAGTATTTGCATTAGACACATTAAATCAAAAACATTTTGCATAGAAGAAAAATTGGCGCCCATATATATGTCTCTTCTTGGGTCCACCCCTGGATGTGACGACGACACCGGCGTTAGCTAAGTTCTTATACGAGAGAGGCTGAAAATTGTAGTTATCTTACGAATAAAGGTCCGAACAGAGACTCCGTATTAATCATCACAAGACACATTAGGACAAAAATAAAATCTAAAATTATAAAAAATCTAACCACTAATTTGGTAGACTTTATCAAAATTGATAATAGTAATAGTCATTGGACCTATTTGTTTTCTAAATGATTACTCCTACGTCATAGTAAAAAACTATATAAAGTAACTCTCTAAATTTGGATAAATATTACCAACCTATGCCATTTATAACATAATCTAAAATGAAGCCCTAAATTACTCGCATGGCATTGTGATAGATAATCTATGTCATGACTCCTTAAATTTGCATCTAAATTATCGATTCTTACATAATACCTATATATTTAATCTAAATTAATTACTAATGTCTGATATTATGAAAATGTATAAATAACCATAAATTATGCTTATATATGTTTTAAATTACCCACTTTTATTATTTAATACATAAAACAAAATTTAAGGATATATATATATATATATTGTGTCATTATGCAGATCAATAAATAGATATTTTAAGTTTCAATAATCATGAAAAATGTTCTCTTAATGACTCATATATATTTTTTAGAATTGTATTCATGTCCATGATATCGATTTATGTATGTTGTTACATAGGATAAATATATATTTTTTACTAAAGTATTATGACATATCTATATTGATAGTACAATTGTAAACATGCTATTTTTATAAATAATATCGGTACATATATAATAAAATTCAATACCTTGAAGAATAGTTGGGAGGGGGAGGGGGGGTTAAAGCAGACAAAGGACAAAGGCGACTATGACCTCCCTAGTATTTGAGATTCTTTTGGAGGAATAGATGATTTATGATGATTAATTAGTTTCCCTCTACTTCTTGAGTTTAGCACGATTGGTCCTCCTAAATCTCGCTTCAAACTCTACCACCAATATTAAGAACCATAGTATAGATTTAATGACTGTTTATGATATTATAGTACTCCCTCCGTCCAGGAAAGAATGAAATTATGAGATCCATGCTAGTCAAAATAATTCAAGTTTGACCGAGTTTATAGTAAATAATATTAGCATTTATGTCTACAAAACAAAATTTATTATGAAAATATATTATATAACTAATCTAATGGTACTTATTTTATATCATGAATGATAGTAGTTTTTTATACAAATTTAGTCAAAGTTAAAGTTATTTGACTTCTCAAAAACGATAATTGCATTCTTTTCTGGATGGAGGAAGTAATTAAGAGTGCAATACACGAGCACAAATCTTTATTTTTATTAAATTATTAAAATACAATAGAATATTTTTTAATAAAATATATAATAATAACAAGAGTTTTAACTCAATTTGAGAAAAAAATATAGCAACTAATACAGATCAAAATAATTTGTGCCGTCAAGAGGCATGGACGAACAACAAGAGCCACCATAACTTAAGCTAATGATTCAAATAAATGCTTATTGAAGATAATATAAAGTAACTGAAAATTTCATCACAACGGGATAAAGATTACATAGTCATATATGCTATTGTGTTATTAGAACAAGAAACGCAAAAAGAAATACCGCAAATGCCAAGATAAATAATTTTTATTAGTTGTAGATATTAAACGTTAACTTAAAATGTTTATGTCTTCTAAAATAGTCGTAACCCGTACATGAGCATCAACATGTGTTGATGTAAAACCCGAACCAAACCCGAGGACCTCAAACAAGCACGGCGAACACGAACAGGGTTCCATTTGGCAGTTGGGGCACATGAGACACATGTGTCCTTGTATATGCCCTCCCGGTACGTACCACACACGCATAAAATTCCTGGTGTAACGAGCTACCAGCAAAGTGCGGTTGCCTTCCATATGATAGTACTACCGGTGCCTCTGCACATAATTGCGTAGCGTTTAATTAGCTGCTCCTGTACTGTATGTGCGTGTGCGTGTGGGTTTTTTTTTTCTGTCATAATGAAAGCTATGATATGACGATGCTGATGATGATGATAAAGCAGGAAAGTGATGTCCCACTGGGAAAAACGTCCTGCTCCGGCTACCTCCTCCGACTCTTCTCCCTCCGGCCGTTGGAGCCTTTGGAGGGGAGAACCGGAGGACGACGGGGGCACAAAGCAAAATAGCATCGCCACCAGCTTCTTTCTCCCTCGATCCATCTCTCTCTCTCTTCCTTGCTCCTGACGGAAGCCGGTTCGGCCGTCCTGCTCTTGCTCAGCTCGACAGCTCGGCAACCCCGCGGAAACCGAGAGGAAGCCGTCATCTTCTTGGTTGCTCGGTGGTGCTCTGTCCCCCTGTTTCGCTGCTGCAGCAGCTGGTGCTGCTCTTGCTTCGACTTCAGCGAGACGACCAGCGCCCAGCGGATTGCCTTGCCTCCGTGCGTTCTCGGTGCTCTCCGAAGAGAGAGTTGGAGATTGAGATCGGAAGGCATAAGGATTGTTTGCCATGGGGAACTGCTTGGGGGGCAGCTCCTCCTACGTCAGCAAGGTCTCCTCCACTGCAAAGCCAGGTGAGTATACTTCCTCTGCTGGTTCTTGGTTCTTGCCTTGCTTTCTCTCCATCCACATGTCCATACGCTTGATTGAGCTCTGTGTTGTGTTCCACCAACCCCCTGAATTCGAAGCAAACAAGTAGTAGTTGGAGTATGTGCTTGTTGCTTTGGTTGCTACGAACTCTGTTTCGGTTTTCCAGGCAACCCAAATCCAGAACCAGAGGACTCAAAATAGAATAGCAAGCTTGTTTAGTCGTAATCTCAAGTGAATCAGTAACAGTGCACTTTTAATCTAATTTCCCCTCGTCACAAATAAAACAAGTTAATTATGAGCAAGAAGTTACTAATTAATTGGACTCCCTAATGATTACTACTAATTAATTAGCCGGAGGGTTTTTTTTTTAAATCCCCCGTTCTGACGACGTTCTTGGTTTGGCGCTTCAATTTCCTGTCTTGCGGGGATTCGGGGGTGAGCAGAGACTCCTCCTAAGGTGCAGAGCCCGTCGGAAGTGGACCGGAGCGACGACCGCAAGCTGCCATCGAACCCGGGCGAGGTGGAGGCCCTGCGGCGGGGCGCGTCGGCGACGGCGCGGAACCCGCTGGTGGCCTTCTCCTTCTCCGAGCTCAGGAAGGTGGCCAACGACTTCCGGAAGGAGGCGCTCATCGGCGGCGGCGGATTCGGCCGTGTCTACAAGGGTTCCTTCGCGCCGCCAGCCGGGACAGACGCAGACCTGAGCGGCGGCACCACCCTGCCGGTGGCCATCAAGGTGCACGACGGCGACAACAGCTTCCAGGGCCACCGGGAGTGGCTGGCGGAGGTGATCTTCCTGGGCCAGCTGTCCCACCCGAACCTGGTGAAGCTGGTGGGGTACTGCTGCGAGGGCGAGCACCGCGTGCTGGTGTACGAGTACATGGCGCTGGGCAGCGTGGAGTCGCACCTCTTCTCCCGCACGTCGCCGCCGCTGCCGTGGGCGACGCGGATGAAGATCGCGCTGGGCGCCGCGCGCGGGCTGGCGTTCCTCCACGACGCCGAGCCCCGCCCCGTGATCTACCGCGACTTCAAGACCTCCAACATCCTGCTGGACGCCGACTTCAACGCCAAGCTCTCCGACTTCGGGCTCGCCAAGGACGGGCCCGTCGGGGAGCAGTCGCACGTGTCCACGCGGGTCATGGGCACCTACGGCTACGCGGCGCCCGAGTACATGATGACGGGGCACCTCACGGCGTCCAGCGATGTCTACAGCTACGGCGTCGTCCTGCTGGAGCTGCTCACGGGCCGGCGGTCGCTGGACCGGTCGCGCCCGCCGCGGGAGCAGGCGCTCACCGACTGGGCGCTCCCGGCGCTGCCGCACAAGAAGCGCGTGCAGGGCATCGTCGACCCCAGGCTGGCGGGCGGAGCCGGCGGATGGGACGACCCGCCGCCCGCCAGGGCCGTGCAGAAGACGGCCATGCTCGCGTACCACTGCCTCAACCGCAACCCCAAGGCGCGGCCGCTCATGCGCGACGTCGTCGCGTCGCTGGAGCCGCTACAGCAGCCGCCCGAGGACCCAGCAAACGCCGCCGTGTGAGTGTTCTGTTGAGACATCGTCGGAAAGCCAATGCAAGGTGCTGGCCGGATGAAATGCAGCAGGAACGGCGGCTGGCTGGTCGGGGCTGTCCTTGTCCTGCCCTGCTGTCCGTTCCGTGGAATGAAAACGAACGAAGCAAGGTGCATGATGTGACTGATAGATGTATGTATGTGTATCATATGGTCGGTAGTACCTTAGCTAGGCAGCGCTTGATGGGCAGAGACGATACATGCATCATTGCTTCTTCATTGTTTCCAGTTAGTTATTGACGCGACCGGTTCTCGTTCCGGCCGGTTGTGCTCAGCAACAACCGCCTAGCGCTGCTGATACACCAACGTCAACACCATTGTACGCATGCAAATCCGGAGCTTTTGCATGACATTTATCGAGTTTAACCGTCTAACTTAAGACCTATTTGCGAATATAGACGTCAGGGTCGGCGCCACAAGCCATCGTGCCAAGGTAACACACCTCGGGGTTTACAGGCCTTGGCGCCATCCTGGAGGCCTCGGTGACGATGACGTGACGAGGAGCTTAGCGCCACGGTTCACGTCGTCGAGCTCAGCACCCAGATCTTGGCACTGAGCTCAGCGCCATCTCCTTTGGCGGCAAGCTTTGACCTTAAAGGCGCGCGGCTAGGCAGCGCTTGATGGGCAGAGACGATACATGCATCATTCATTGCTTCTCCATTGTTTCCAGTTAGTTATTGACGCGACCGGTTACGGTTCCGGCCGGTTGTGCTCAACAACCACCAGCTGGTCGTGCTCAACAACAACTAGCTGGTCGTGCTGGTACACCAACACCATTGTACGCATGCAAATCTGGAGCTTTTGCATTACGGGCGTGTTTGTTTGCCTGCACTAGTTGCGCCTGTCCCGCTCAACAGAGTCAGGTCCATTTGATGCAGGCTCAAAAGGTGCAACTTGTTGTGTTTGTCTGTTTTTCTCTACACAACCAGGCTAGCTGGAGATCATGTTTGGTAGACTGAACAAATGAATCCACTCACCTTGCATCAGCTATGGTAGAGTTACCACTACTACCCACGTCTGTCTTCTTCCTTGAATCTCAGCACTACTATTCTACCTAGACATTTTCACAAACACCTTGCATACGAGCCAGGGTGTGAGAGGGAGCTGTGGCTAGAGACGGAGAGGGAGACCACAGGGGCGGGCGGGGTCGCTGTAGAGCCGTCGACGGAGGTGCTGTGGCGGCGGGGTTGTGCTCGTCGCGCCGGATCTTGGAGAAGGACCCCGCCATGGACGCGTGGAGCAGGCGGCGGCCGAGTAGCACACAAATCGTCGCTGCCATGGCCGTCTTCGCACGGGGGCTGCGTCCGGCTCCGACGGCTTCGCCGTCCCGACAGGCTCCCTCTCCGTCTCTAGCATCCCTCCACCGAATCGAGCTCCCTTCCACCGAATCGAGCTCCTCCACCATCCAAATCGCGGTAGGAGGAGGTGAGGGAGGGGGAGGGGAAGGGGGAGGACGGAGCTCGGATGCGCCGGAGATGGTGTCCTTGGCTACCGGTGCAGTGGCGGATCCAGAAATACAGGGTAGGGGGTGGTTATTCTTCTTAATTTTTTTTTAGAAAAGAGAATATATATTAATATCTCAGCCTCAACTTAATTTGTACACTTAACCTCTTCTTCCAAAGTTCAATGGCTATAAATTTATAGCAGAAGCTTAAGATGGGCTCTATGCATCCGGCGACGGTAGCGGGGGCTCGAGCCCCGGCCGCCCCGGTGCTGGATCCGCCTCTATGGTAGAGTTACCACTACTACCCACGTCTGTCTTCTTCCTTGAATCTCAGCACTACTATTCTACCTAGACATTTTCACAAACACACCTTGCATCTGAGGTGGGTGAGAGGGGGAGCTGGGCTAGAGACGGAGAGGAGACAGGGGCGGGGGGGGTGGAGTCGGAGGTGCTGTGTGGCGGCGGGGTTGTGCTCATCACGCGCGGATCTTGAGAGGACCCCGGGACGCGGGGCGCAAGCGCGCCGAGTAGCACACAAATCGTCGCTGCCATGGCCGTCTTCGCAGGGGGCTGCGTCCGGCTCGACGGCCGCTCCGTTTCTCCGTCTCTAGCATCCCTCCACCGAATCGAGCTCCTTCCACTGAATCGAGCTCCTCCACCATCCAAATCAAAAGTAGGAGGAGGTGAGGCAGGGGGGGAAGGGGAGGATTTGAGCTTGGATCGAACATGGTCCTCCTACTACGTGCATGGCAGGATCCGTAAATACAGGTGAGGGGGTGGTTATTCTTCTTAATTTTTTTTAGAAAAACATATCCTAATATTCAGCCTCAACTTTTTGTACACTTAACCTCTTCTTCTTCAACTCAAAGACCTATTCCGGCGACGGTGGCGGGGGCTCGAGCCCGGCCGCCTTGAATCCGCCCCCGCCGGTGATAGGCGCCGAGACGGGCGAGAGGATGGAGTCGGAGGCGAGCACGGTGGATGAGAGAGGAGACGGTGGCGTGAAGCAATGCAAGTTCGACAGAGCCGTACAAGCCATGGTGCCATGATAACATGTCTTGAGCAGCGAGCAAAAGCGTCCTTAGGCAAACGAACAAGTCCTCCTACACGAGTGTGGTGCTGCCTCAGCCCTCCGGCCTCGATGACAATCACATCCTACATTGCTCGAGTTTGTTGAGCTATTTACGAATATAGACGTCAGGGTCGATGCTACAAGCCATGGTGCCATGATAACATGTCTTTTCCTCTCTAGAGGCCTCGATGAAATCGGCTGCTCCGTTGGTTTCAGCCTAAACCAAACCAGCCGAAACGAAGATTTTCCTCTCACAATAAATCAAATCGGGCCAGCCTAAACTGGCGTGAAACCAACCAATGGGAGCTCGGCAGGAGCTCAAGCGTCACGGCTCATGGCACTCAGCACCAGAGATCTTGATGTCAAGCTCAGCATCATCTCCTATGGAGCCAAGCTTTGAACTTAAGGGTGCGCGGCCAGCCTCTTGTTTGAGCCAGCACTCATTTCTTCCCTCACTTCTTCCCCTCTCTGTCTCTCCAATCCATCTTACCCCCTCCAATCTCTATATTAGACCTATAGAATTTGGATTTGATCCATATATCTTCGAGAGCGAGATAGCCTCTCTCTCCCCTCGTCATTTTTTACGTGTGTGATTTGGTATATGTGATGTATATTTTGCAAACCTTAGTTTGATGAGAGTTTTTTTTTGGAATGAAATGTACACTATGGATTGCAAATTCTTGGATGAAACCTCTTTATGACCGGTTAGTTTAGTTTTATGTCTTAGGTATGAGTACTTAGTTGTGCATTATTCATGTATGCCAGTATTCAATTGTAATTCTAAGTACTTTTTTTTCCTTAGTTGCAATGTAGTTAAGCGTTGATACTCAATGATAATGGATTTGATTTCTTAGTAGCCTCTGTTTTTTTAGGATGGAGGACATGTAGCGTATAGAGAAGTGGTGAAAGAAAGGTCGTCCCAACGGTTTATACCCAAACGCATCTTGCAAGGATGCACCCTAAGCTACCAATGCTGTGCCTAAGTGTGATTTTGATAAGCCGGCCCATGTGTTTGAATCGAGGCATCCGAAAACTGTCGCACGGGCCTTCTACACATGTGACAATTGTCACGTAAGTAATCCTTTGCAAATAACTCATGTTGTTTCTTTGAACAGATATTTACAGGAACGGCCGACCGTGAAGCTACCATCGTAGTTTAGATTTCAGATTAAATAACAACTACACTGCAGGTTCAGAGGTGACAGACAATTAACAGCTTGCAAGTAGTACTAGGCATAGCTGAATGCAGATCCACCTTGCCGTAGCTAGCAAAAGTTTACGTCTGTTTTCACTTGAGACAAGTAGCTAGCAGCTAGCCAGGGAACCACTAAAAAGCTATTTTACTATTTTAGCTGTGAATGCTTTATTTGGGTTCGACTAAGATTTTCATCTGCACTAATTATATCGTAAAGCCTTTAACGTATCCTAAACACTTAACACCTGTACAGCCTTGAGCATGTCTACACAAGCCTAAATTTCATCTGAAAGTAAGTAGATTGATGGGTAAAATTCTGCAACAAACTGAAAATCACATAGGAAGATCTATTTGCAGGCAATTGGAAAAACCTACTACCCCACAATTCCATCCAAAAGCGACAGGTGAGGTTACTGCCAATTTGGACATGGACAAACAGCAATTTCACCTGAAAGTCTGGGAGCGCTACAATAAAGCCCCGTTTGGCTTACCCCATATTCAGCTTGTTCGGTTTATTTTTTCAGCCAGAACAGTGTTTTTCTCTCACAACAACAACAGCTCAGCCAGAACAGTGTTTTTCAGCCAGTTTCAGCTAAGATTCAGCAAGCCGAACGGGACCACATTACATCCAAGTCGTCAACCAAAACCAATGCAAAACCAAGAAACGCTCGCTGCAATCCAGCATTCTGCTCTCCCAGATTCTCTAGCATCCTCAAATCAACTTCTTCTATCACAGTAACAGGTTTCACCGCCATTCTTCATGAACCAAATATTTGTTTTTTTGGTTGTGAATTTTATTAGTATCCTTATTCATTTCGAATACCCAGCCCCAAAATCCTGGGTCTGGCACTGTTGATCACATCTTAGTATCTTTTCCAAAGTGCGATTCTACCAAGAATCATTCCGCACTGCGATTTTGACATGCAACTTTTGGTTTGATCCTATATCGTGCAATTTTATCGCATCCTAACAAACTTGCTATTTACAAAGAGCAAAGAGCATCCAGGGGTGGATTTGCCAATGGGGTGAGGGTACGGGGGCTCGAGCCCCTCCTACCCCAGCTGTGCCATTGGTGCTCCCCTCACCCCCCATAAATATTTCAGCCATTAACGCTATGGAAGGAAGGGCTGGAGTCCTCCCGGTACAGCTTGGACGGAGGTTGAAGACTGAGTTGGAGGTCCACTTGGTGAGCGCAGCAACAAGGGCATTGAAGGCTGTCATTTTTAAACTGCAACTTTGCTTTTTTTTGACAACAAGCTG